GCATTTAGGGTTTTTTGGGTTTTTTTGCAAAAAACAAAAGCAACAACAATTCTCGTGAGCGTGACCACGTATTGAGGGTTTTTTTTGGGTTTATTTGCAAAAAACAAAAGCAACAGCAGATTGTCAAATTCCTATATCCCTCTCCCCCCTCCAAGACCCTTCCTCCTCCTCCTCCTCCCGTCTCCGAAACCCCTCCCTCAACAAGCTTCGCCTCCGCCGCATCTTCGACCTCTTCGACCGCAACTCCGACGGACTCATCTCCCCCTCCGAGCTCTTCCTCATCCTCCCCCTCCTCGGCCTCTCCGTCGATCCATCCGACCTCTCCCCCTTCCTCCTCCCCCGATGGGAGCGTCCCCAATGGCCTCGACTTTGACACCTTCCAACCTTTCCTTGCGATCGGTGATGGAGTAGGATAACTCGATGCCGTTGCAGACCCGGGGTGTTTCTGGGGGCTGGGATTGGGTTGAGATGAAGAAGAGAGCGAGGAAGAGGAGAGAGGAAGAGGATGAGGAGGAGGAAGAGGAGGAGGAGGAGGGGGAGGGGGTTAGGAGCAGGATAAGTTTTTTATAAGGGAGTTTTATACAAAAAATCCCATCAACACTGGTCGGAACAGTAACTCCGGCCAAACTTAAGGCCAATATGGCGCCGGAGTTAAAAATTTATACCAATCTGACAAAACTTAAAAAAAATATACCAACTTGTCACCAAGTCTCAAGAAATTATACCAATCTGGTCATTTTGCCCATTTTTATATGATAAAAGCATACACATAACCATATAAAAATTAAAAGAGTTCATGAAAATCATTTCTAAAGATTCTTGATTTTACTCAAAAAATTAAGTTGTTTTTAAAAATTATATATATATATATATATATATATATATAGGGTGAGGTTCTAATAAAAACCTCACTATCCTAAAAACTAAAAACCAATCCTCTCCATTGGTCCAATGGCTGAGATTATAATACTATTACAGCTGCATAAGGGTAATCAGGTAAAATTAACAGCCACCAATGAGAGGTAGTGAATGCCTGTCTGTTGAGTTCTCCATGCAAGTGTAGTTTTCCATTTCCCCATGTAATCTCACGGCTCAGGAAACCCATCAGTCACGAATAGCAGATCTCTCACTCCACAACTAGCAGCTCTCGTTCATCGTCCTTCAGCTCTCTCTCAATCGAGAAATTGTCTTCTAGTCACTCCACAACCAGCAGCTCTCCTTCATCGTCCTTCAGCTCTCTCGTTCATCGTCCATCAGCTACATTCTTAAACATTTTATGGAGATTTAAATGGAGAGCTTGAATTCAGGTGAGCAGGTTCTAGTTGTTAGATTCTGCAGTGATTTTTATAGTGTATTCATATGTTTACTGTAGTGAATCTGGATTCAATGCATTGAATCGAGATTCACTCCAGTGAATCCAGATTCATTGTAATGGATCCAGATTCAGTATATCAAAACTTAGTCATATGACTTATTATCTAGGAGCTTACATTCTTAAACATTTTATGGAGATTTAAATGGAGAGCTTGAATTCAGTTGAACACATTCTAGTTGTTAATCTAGATTCACTGCATTGAATCGAGATTCATTGTCAGAGACTGCAGTGATTTTCATAATGTATTCACATGTTTACTGTAGTGAATATGGATTCAATGCAATGAATCAAGATTTACTCCGGATTAATTAGCAATAATATGGATTCAATGCAGTGAATCTAGATTCACTCCAGTGAATCTAGATTCATTGTAATGGATCCAGATTCAGTATATCAAAACTTAGTCATATGATTTATTATCTAGGAGCTTACATTCTTAAACATTTTATGGGGATTTAAATGGAGAGCTTGAATTCAGGTGAACACGTTCTAGTTGTTAGAGACTGCAGTGATTTTCATAATGTATTCACATGTTTACTGTAGTGAATCTGGATTCAATGCATTGAATCCAGATTCACTGCAGTAAACATGTGAATACATTATGAAAATCACTGCAGTCTCTAACAACTAGAACGTGTTCACCTGAATTCACATGTTTACTGTAGTGAATCTGAATTCAATGCAGTGAATCGAGATTCACTCCAGTGAATCCAGATTCATTATAATGAATCCATATTCAGTATATCAAAACTTAGTCATATGATTTATGTTGTTTTATTTTCAGTTGTAGGCAGCAATGAACAAATAAAGGAACCACATGTTATAAATGCATCGGATAGTGATTTTGGGGAAGATGGAATGGACGAAGTTAGCTCGATTCCTTTTCAATCACCAGGTGGTGGTATGTATTAGAAACCTCGGGTTGAAGCTGAATTTAAACCTTATCTAAACCAAAGCTTCTGATCACTAGAGGGTGGTATAGAGTTTTACCGAGAGTATGGACATAAAAGTGGGTTTGAGATCAGACGGCATACAGAAAAGAAACATGAGGGCGGTACAGTTCTTCTTAAACACATTCTTTACAGTAGAGCTGGCAGTAATGAATCAAAGATGGATGTTGATTTTGAGGATTTTAGTAGCATTTCGAAAAAGAGAAGGAGAACTGTATCTAGTAGATGTGGTTGCAAAGCTAAAGTCATTTTTAAGTTCGATGGTTTGAAAGGATATAATGTTCTCTCATTCGTTGAAGAGCATTCTCATTTTTTGGCCTCCGGTAGTGGGAAACAATTTTTGAAGTCAAATAGAGTTCTCGGTCTCGCACATAAGAAACTTGTATTTGATGGAGCAAAAGCCAACATGGGGCCTAACAAAACATATAACTTTGCTAAGGAGTTGTGTGGAAGTTATTCTAATGTTGGTGCTACATGTACTGAGTTTAAAAATTAGAGTAGGGATGTGAAGCTTTATATTGGTGATCGAGATGCTCAAATGATCATCGAGAAGTTTACGGATAAGAAGGAGATGTGTGATGGATTTTTCTATGATTATGCAGTCGATGAAGGGGGTCGATTAACTCGCATTTTTTGGGCAGATGTTATTGGACGAAGAAATTACGATGTATTTGGAGATGTTATATCATTTGACTCTACATATTCCACAAACAAGTAAGATTTTATAGTTAATCTCTTACGATTTTCAATATTGGAATTATATATCATAGTGAATCTTATATTTTTTGTATGTGATACAATAGGTACAACATGAAGTTTGTTCCATTCACTGGGCTCAACAATTATAAGAAGTGTGTTGTATTTGCAGCAGGATTGATAGCTAAAGGGGACATTGATAACTATGTCTGGATTTTTGAGGTATTCATGAAATGCATGATTCACGAGCCAAAGTGTATTGTTACAGATCAGTGCCCTGCCATGAAGCAAGCTATACCAACCGTCTTTAGAGAAGCACATCACCGTTTGTGCATGTGGCACATCATGAAGAAATTTAACCAAAAGGTAATAAATCCCACATATAAACATCATGAATCCTCATTAGATAAATACTGAATCTTTTGTTATATATTTATATTGTAGTTAGCAAAATGCATTTCGAAGATGGATGATTTCAAGAGGAAGGTAAATGCACTAATTTGGAGTATAAATATAGATCCAGCAACATTTGAAGTAGGTTGGAAAGATGTTATGAAAGAATTTAAGCTTAAAAGTAATGAATGGTTGTGTGAACTGTATAACATTCGGGAGTCATGGATTCCAGTCTATTATGCTGATGATCCAATGGCTGGCTTATTGCATACTACATCAATATCAGAGAGTGAGAACAGTTTCTTTGACAAATTCAACCGTAGATCTGACACATTGACAGATTTTATCTCCGATACGAGAGTGCTATGGATAAGCAAAGGCATACAAACGCAAGATTAAACTATGAAGGAACAAAGTCGATGCCAAGAATGGACACGCCATTGTTATTGGAGAGGGATGCAGCAGAGTTGTACACTCAAACAATGTTTTATGAGGTACAGAAAGAGATAATGTCATCTTGTTATGATATGAGTATCAACAGTATATCAGAACAAGATGGTGTGAAGATTTTTTTCATAAAGGACAAAAAGAGACATGGAAAAATATTTGAGGTAAAACTTAATAATGGAGATTGAAACAATAAAAATTTTCAATGAAGTGAATCTCGATTCACACCACTGAATCGAGATTCAGTGACCATTTCATTCGCTTGTCATTTTCTTTTTTTATTCGGTGCTAATATACATTGTTTTTTGAATTTTAGGTGAAACACGCTGTTTTGAACAATGACGTGCAATGTACGTGTAGGATGTTTGAGAAAATGGGTATAGTATGTAGACATGGTTTTTTTGCACTGAACCAAGCTGATGTATCAAAAATACCAAGACATCTTGTTGTGAACCGATGGACAAAAGGTGCTGAGATGAGACATTCATTGCAGTTCAAGGAAATATCAGAACAGTGCAAAGCAATTAAAGTTACAAATCACAAGTTGAATGACATATGGTATGATTTCCAATCCTGTGTGAGTTTGGCAGGTTTAGATGGTGAGAGACTTGACTACCTGGAAGGGAAGTTGAAGGAGTTGAAGCACAGTTTGCGTGAATCTAGTGGGAAATCTGACACATAAAACAAAAATGATGTAATGGAGTTTTTTGTTGGCTCAAAAATACCAGCTGAAGTGATTGTTAAACCTCCCATTGAAGGTAGAAACAAGGGGTGTGGACGGAGAATTGTTGGTGATTATGAGAAATCAATTAGTCAACGAAAGAAGAAGGTGCCAAGGCTGTGTAATATGTGCAAAAAACTCGATTTCCATGACACACGGACATGCCCATTAAAGAAAACATTACAGCAGAGTGATGTTTAATTTAGTTGTCATATTTCGTTTTAAAATCATGTTTAGTAATACATTTCTTATTAGAATTGCTGAATTGTGTAATTCTTAACGACATATATTTACTAGATTATTAATTACATGGTTACGTTGTGTCATGTTTGTATATTGAATAGAGATGTACTCATATAGCATGTAAATTTTATTAATTAGTAGTTGTATTAATTCAATAGGAATGATAAAGTAGTTGTATGCAGTCATCAAATTAAAATTGATTCGCTTTAAGTGATTCTGGACTAACTATAGTCAATCTAGATTCATTGTAGTGAATCTAGATTCACTGAATTGAATCTGGATTCACTATAGGGATTCATTATAATCAATCAAACAATCAAATTATTTGATTGATTCGCTTTAAGTGATTCTGGACTAACTATAGTGAATCTAGATTCATTGCATTGAATCTGGATTCACTGAATTGAATATGGATTCACTATAGTGAATCTAGATTCAATCAAATAAATTACTAAAAACTTAAGATAATATTGAACCAGTGAATCCAGATTAAATACATTCAATCCATAATAAATATGATTAATTTACTGAATCTTTTATTGTAGTGAATCTGGATTAACTGAATTGAATCTGGATTCACTATAGTGAATCTAGATTCAATCAAATAAATTACTAATAACTTAAGATAATATTGGACCAGTGAATCCAGATTAAATATATTCAATCCATAATAAGTATGATTAATTTACTGAATCTTACACAAAACCTTGAATTATAACTCACATTATCTGCTTAAATCGAAATTCTTCCAATTGCATCCATTACCTTCACAGTATTTTTATATATCCAAACTATTCACAAATCTAGAAATAAAATTATGACAAAGCTATTATATATTATAAAGTATATTTACATAGAAAAGCAGATCAAAACAAACCGTTATATTCAATAACATTAATTGACAATGTACTCAATAATTGTAAACTTTAACAATTCAATTATACTGATGACAGAATATCATTTTCTCTGAGATCTTGTGGTCTTCCTCCTCTCTTTTTTGACATTGGCAGTTTTAGCATGGTGCTGTTGGGCTTTCCTGATGACTTCTTTGGCCAATTCATTTGTTAGATCAGTAAGAATTTGGCAACAGTATATAGACCTCAGTCTATGTAGCTAATTTTTTAATCGCTCCTGTCGATATGAACAATAATTCAGTTTAAGATTCAGCAGCTATATTCTAAATTTTATTAATTCATAAAGACTAACTGTAAATTATCAATACATTATTAGTTTAAACACTTACACCCTCTCTATGGAAACCAGAGTTCCAATTTGCTGTACCACCGTCCATGTAGGTCTTCATATGTCTCATGACAAAAATACCACAATCAAATTCGTTTTTGGCCGTTCTCCACTCCATCTCAAGTCTGTCAGGCCTTAATGTCATTATTTCACTCGACTTGTGATGTTTTTTGTGTGCCAAATATCTCACAAAATTCTTGTGCTGTTTAATCAAAAGTAATCAATGTCACATAAAAATCCAAATTATCATACAATAATGTCTAATGTAATATACAAATTGTTTTGGTTGTTTATATGGAAACAGTATTCATGACAGTGAATCTCGATTCATTGGATCTAGTTCGTCAGGATTTAATAGAGTTAGTTTATCTGGACTCACTCTAATGAATCTGGATTCACACTAGTGAATCTGGTTCACTAGAATTAACTATAGCTAGTGAATCGTGATTCCCTAGTGTGAACACAGATTCACTAGCTCTAGTGAATTGAGATTCACAGTAAGATGTGAATCCAGATTCACTAACTATAGTGATCGAGATTCACTAGAGTTAGCGAATCTGGAATTTTCTGACTCTAGTGAATCGAGATTCACTATAGTGAATCGAGATTCACTATAGTGAATCGAGATTCACTATAGTGAATCGAGATTCACTTATTACTGTATTCTGCCAGTAAATACTTAAAGCACATACGTAAGGTGGAAAAACATACCAAACCCTCAGGACGACCTTGGTATTTTTCCTTGTAGTCAGGGTAGTTTTTGCTATTGTCAATCAGCTCCGTACTTGGATTCTTTAGCCCATAGCACACAATGTAGAAATGCTCAAACGCATTTATGGGAAAGAAGACCTAATGGTTGTGAAATTTAATCAGTGCTTTTACAGATATAGTTAAACAAAAACATTATCTTCGAATCTTTACCATATCAATCTCATTAAACTTCATATGTGGATACAGAGCAAGTTGCTCATCCATCCGGGAAGCAAACCTACTGTATCTCAATTCATCATTGGACTCATCTGTGTGATGAATGTTGCAAAACTGTAGAACATAAAACTGGTTAAATAAAATGTAACTCAAATGTTATTTTAAATTAAATAAAGGAAGATACGTACGGTTGTCTCAACATTGCAGAAGAATCTAAGTGGAGAATTTTCAGACTTCATTTTTTCTCTGCTGTTCAAAATATAGGACCAAATGCTGATTAAATTTGCCTCAATGCCCTCAGAAGGAAGGAAAGTCTTGAAAGCAGGTAAGAAACATTCAATTTGTCTCCACTTAAAAACTATTTCACTGAAAAAATAGTAACAATATTCAATTTAATAAAGGGAAAAAATACTAAAAACAGTGAGTCTCACACCTAAAAATAAAAGATCAAATAAGATTTATGAACTCACAAATTCTCTTCTTCATTAGAACCATCACCTGAATGCATTGCTTCTTCTCTATGCACCCAATTCCATATGATGCTTTCCAGCTGACTTTGCCTAGTAGTAATCTCAGATACCCTCTGCACCCATGGTGACCGAAGAGACGTTGCAGGCTTCACCATCCTCTTTTCTTTCCCCCTTCCCGCATGTCCCTTATTTTCGATCACATGAACTTTCTTACCTTTACGTTCATCTACTGTAGCAGCATCTTCAGCTTGTTTATCAGTTCTTCCTACAGAGTCATCAATGATTTCAGATTCACAAGCTCTAGCAATCTGAACAACATCAACCATTTCCACTGTCTCAGTCTGAGTATCCTGTGTCAGCCCAAGAGAAAAACTAGGTTCTTCAGTCTGTGGGGTACCAGATTCGCTGAGCTTGCGCCTCACTGGTCTGTCAACCTTACCCATGCTAACAGACTCTATAATCTTATCAACCTCTTGAATAAAATTTGGGGAGACTTGTGTTTGTGGTAACTCAGCTGATATTGGATCAACAGGAGGGGAACCATGCATATCTCTACTCACCTTGGTGTTCATATTAGGGGTATCATCAACAATGTTTCACTCAGCTGTTTCATTGTCACAGGTTCTTCCACGATGTCCACAACCCTGCACAAGAACATTTGAAACTCTCTGTTGAATTTGAAAAAGCTCGTTGTCATTGGGGAACAACTTTCTCATTGTCTCACACTCTGCATCATATCTATCTTTTGCAGATTCCAACTCTGCAGCTCTCCGTTGCACCCTCTCAATACAATCATGCAGTTTGAATATCACAGACATTGGTCACCATAAATTATTAACATGGCGAGAGACTAGATTCGATAGATTGAGATTACATTCATTGTATTTGAATCGAGATTCAAATGACTGAATCCAGAGTCGACTAAAGTAAATCCAGTTTCACTTTATTGAATCGAGATTCAGTAGCAGTGAATCCAGATTCACTTCAGTAAATCGAGATTAAGTATCATTGAATCCAGATTCACTTAAGTGAATCAGAATTTAGTTTAACTTAATCTATAACCACTGATCTGAAATGAGATTCAGTATTAGTAAAACGATTCATTGAACTGAATCGACATTCAGTTTAAGTGAATCTCGATTCACTCCTACTGAATCGAGATTAAATTGAATAAACAAAGTCTTGCAACTTAATTTGCTAACCTTTCGAATTGTCTCAACACTTTTAGGCGAGTTTCCAGTACCACTCTGCATTCGAGATGAAGGTGCAAGTTCAACCCTCTCTGTAAATTCGAGATGAAGGTGCAAGTTCAACCCTCTCTGTAAATGCACCTTTGCCAAATGAATTTGTACTTATTTCATCTGCCTGTCTTTCCTTCAAGGCCAAGTCAGTCCAGCCTAAAAATGTAGGGGTTGTTCTCTCAACCAACCTCCTCCCTTTGAATAGAACCCGATCGGCATAGAACAACTAGAAAGACGGAGATAAGAAATAAAACACACCAATTAGTAATCATCAAGTAAAACTACTTTAACTACAGTAATGTAAAAATAAATCAATATTATACAAGTGACTTACAATCAAAAATGCAAGAGGACCCGTGTAGAATTGTTTTGTCGGGTCTACCTTCCACTTGTGTTGGCTTTCTATCATTGAGTCAAGCAAGAAAGAACACCAATTGTATTCAGAGCACTGATCAACATTGTCACCAAGAACTAGAATCCGTTGGTTGACATACGGATTGCTAAGCGACTGGATCATGCTGTTGTGAAAGAGAACCAAGAAATTCAGTTTAAAAAACAAAAAGCAGGTTAACATCAGAACTCTGCTTTAGTTTCTCAGACACAGCCCCTGGAGTAATTTTCCAACCAACACTGTCTGTGAATTGAGCCCTCCATTCATCCACCAATGCTGACTTCCCAATACTGAAGGCTGGTATACGCTTCCTGCCCAGAGGTAATCCCATTACTTGATGTACATCTTCCTCTGTGATACTGATTGATCCTCTGGAAAGATTAAGCGCAACAACCTCACTGTCAAAGGACTGCAGAATCTGGTATCCTAACATATGTGGCAGTTCCT